AAATTTATGATCTCTGGTTGTGTTCCCCCATTCGAGACAGTGTTATGAAGATTTGTTATGAAGATCTGTTCGAGGTGTGAACACGAGCTCCACCCATCCTTATGCAGAAAAGTTAATCGATAATCGACTGTCTCTTGCATGGACCATAATAACTGGCCATCTCTCTGCGTCACGCGCACTTGTTGATGAATTTCGAGCTACTTCCGCAATGAGCACCAGACCTGATGAACCTACAAAACAAAGTTTCCGGTGGGTATATAAGGGCAACAAGCGCATCCGAACTCCATTACGCTTCGTCCGCGTTAAGTTTTCGTCTTCATAATGTCAACTCCTGTAATCGTGAATGTTGGCGGCACAAGGTTCCAAACAACCATCGAAACGCTGAGAAATTGCCCCGGCAGAGGTGATCGAAGCATATTTCGGCACATGAACATTTCCGTGAGTTGAAGTTTATACTGACTATCTTATACTTGACTATCTATCCTTATATGTTATGTATCTTTTGCAGTGCCAAGAAGAAACATTTGTGGATCGGGACCCGACTGTATTCGGGTATATCTTAAACTACCTGCGTGATGGATCAGTTATTTTTCCAAAGGATGGATACATTCTCACTCTGGCTAAGTACGAGGCTGAGGTGAGTTCTGCTGTGTTATTTCTTCTCTGATTGATTATTTTGGATCTACTTTAGCACTATGGCCTTCATTATCTCTATAAGCACCTTCCAACATGTGATAATCTTCATATTGTTGAAGCCGAATGGGATTCTGAAGATCAGCTCTTTCGCTCTCCATCCTATGGACATTCGGAACCCTCTCCCGATACTGAATGGATGTCATCGCCTGTGTTTCCCGCAAATCTGAACCATTCTAATGCGATTTCGTCACTTCCATCGGAAAATTCTCACGATTCCGACGAGATCACAACTTATGAATGTCAATGTCGGGAGAACCGTGTTGGTTCTAGCCCAATCCCACCATCTGTACATCCGGAGTATCTTGACGATTCTGGCTCTGTTTCACCACTGATATTCACATATCACCGTGGTCGAATCGATCATGAATAATCTTTCCCTTCTTTTGATCCAGTATAGTAAGCCATTTTTGTGACCTTCTCTTGCATAAATATCCACACTACTTATGTGTCTCTTTTATCACAGTGCACATTTACATACGGCATGTTATAACCATTTTTGAATTTAATGTACATTTGCAGTTGACAATAAATCATCGCATATACTTCAAATCTTGTAATTGAATGAGCGCTAGAATTTTCAGTTTCAAAATTATCTGTTGTGTAATCTCCAAGAACATTATTTGGATATTTTTACTGACTGCTGCTCTAAAATTTTGAAAGGACTTGTTTCTGTTCACATTTTTTGCAATTGGTATCTAATTTGTTTCGTAAGAAAATCTTCGAGAGACATGTGACCTCATGTCCAAATTTTTGGATCACCAAATCCCTGCGGCATCGAATACATGCTATTTTTTCTGAGGGCGTGGTCAACGCCACCATTCTGAAATTTATCCCTCACCCATAAAAATCGAGTGGCGGACGAGTGGCGTAGTGGTATGAGGCGCCGCTAT